ATATGATGCATATGCAAGGCTCATCAATTTACCTTTGAATCCACGAATCCACGAAAGGCAAAAAAAGAACTTCAAATCTGGCTTCCCATGTTCAGATCGGGGCTCCTCTCACCTTCCATATGGGCGATGCGAGAAGTTGGTACCACCCGCGACTTCTCCGGCACGGTGCAGCGCATCGGTAGATCAGCCGGCAGGGCGTACATGGACCGGCAGAAGGTGATTGAGAAGGCGGGTTGCGCTGCGAGGCAGAGAAGGGTGTATAGAGATTAGCGGATCGAGATATAGGAGAGGATGCGGTAGTCCTTACTGCTGCTGCTGGTGGTGGATTGTCTTGGTTCGGGAGTTTTGGGAGTAATAAAATCGCTTCGCTACACTAACTTATCGGTTCAGAAGGCAAAAGATCAAACGACTTGTCGCTTTGGTGACCAGGGAGATGGCTACATGATTTGTATTTGTTCATTATTATTTTTGGCTCCTGTGGCACATTTGCTGAGTTGGACAGGCTGCATGTCAAAAGTAATAGCATAGTGGGGATGAACTATTTAGTGGTTTGCTCCTATTTAGTTGATGATGTGGCATGGTGATGATGTGGATAGTGTGCATGTTAAAAGAATAGATAGAAGTGGGGAGCAACTTCTTAAGAATGTTAGATAAGTCATACAAGAAAGTTCCATGTGATGCTGGCCTCAATGAATCAGACCTCGAGAATTCGTTCATCCCTTCGCTTCGAGGATCGGTCGAGTACTTGGCCCAATTGCAGTAAAATAGAGTTGTAATTCACTAGTTATTGTAGATGCTCGCCAAAGCTGGAAAAAAACAGACACTGGTGCGAGAACATAGACAAGTCACCATACCAACATTTTTGAATAGGCAACTCTTTCTTTCTGAAGATAGAATTCAAAATAAATAGATCCGCATTCAAGTTTTAGTCTTCTTTCCTTTCATCTAGAATGGTTGCTGCTTGGTCTTCAGTGAGCGAAGTCGTTTCCTCAATAGAGGAGGTCGAAGGATCTCTCACTCAAGTTTGATCACATTAACTTTTAGATGAATCCCAAGGAAGTTTCTTCAAATCAACAATTTCAGGCACGCTGCTAGTTGTAGAGTTTGCAAAAAGATCCCTTCATTACCTTCCCTACCACTGTGAAATAACTGAAATATTGTTAAAATTGTCATACATGAAAACAAAATTTGCTATAGATTTTATTTTGTTCCTACATTCTCAAACTTATTTTATATGAAATTATTATGAGTGGATCTGGGACCAATCACGTAGTTGCTAATTGGTAATAGTTACTAATATTTTGAAAGGAAACTTATTTTCTAACAGGCAGCTTGCAAAGAGGATTGGAATTGAAAATCGGGATGAAAAATAGGGCTCAGCTTGATGGTGGCACGACGTCGTAGCGATATATTCCAAGGACCAAAGAACAACCTGCGGTGGGAGTGGATCGACGGCGAGATTGCAGGAGGCGAGGGGACGAGGGCTCGTCACATGGTCAGGGGTTCAGGGCGGTGGCGGCGGCTAACTTTCGCGTCTCCCCGACAAGGGTTGTTTGTGTTGCGTGCGCGTGCGTTCCGGACACACAGGTAGGCTCGCTCGCAATCTTCCTCTGGGCAACATCAGTTACGTGCTAGGTGGGCTTACTGGCGGATGGGCTTTGATAATTTTACCAGAAAAACAAATGAGTGGGGGCAAATAAACCAGGCATTCTTTATTTGGCTCTGATGGCGCCGATGGCGCCCATTAATAGAGAGCAACTAGTTGACAAACGCTTCTTCGGGAGCCTCCTAACGATCACTTGGGGTGGGCTGAAAGCACGCCATTTGGGGCACTTTCAGGCGCCACCATGTTTCGTGCTCTGGGTGCTTTCTTCGGATTTTATTTTATTTTAACGCACGCGTTTTTTGACTTTTTAGACGGTTATTTACGGTTTTTTGGCCTTTTGGTTTTCTGCCGGTCTTCTTAAGCTTTTGAACAAAAAAACCAAAAAAATATTTTTTCTGTGAAAACATATTTTTTTTTTCTTCCGTGGGAGTCACGGTTTTGCTTCCACGTGAAGCACGGATTGGCTTTCTCGAGAGGCACGACCGTGCCTCTCAGAAATCGAAAAAACGTGTTTTTTTCTTTCATAATAGGCACGGTTTGCTTCCGTGAAAAAAACATATTTTCTCTTTTCTTTTTCCTTCCATGAGAACACGGTTTTGCTTCTGCGAGAGGCACAGCCGTGCCTCTCAGAAACAAAACAAAAAAACATGTCCTGGTTTAGTTTTTTCGTTCATTTTTTTATGAAAAAAACTTCATCAAAACTGTCAACATGGGGATCGAACCTGGAACCTCAAGCCTCACACAGCACGCGCCAACCACTTTGAGATCTCACATCCTGTGGCTCTCACACCTTTGTTTTGCGCCAGTGTATAGGCCGGCCCATCGGCATTTTTTTAAAAACATTTAGCTTGTGGACCAGCGAATTGACAATTGACCAAGGACAGTTGATCGTTGACTTTATGACCATGTTAAAAAGTTCACCAATTTTAAAAATCTCACAAATTTGAAAAAACATTGATTTTGAAAATTTTCATTGAATTTCAAAACAGATTCATGAAACCGAAAAACGTTTATCCAAATTGAAGAAAATCATCGCATTGAAAAAAGTTCATCGGGTTTGAAAAAATTTCATCAATTTTTCAAAAATATTCACCTAAAATAAAAAAGTTCATTGACTTTTAAAAAAAGTTCATCAAAATGGAAATGGTTCATCAATTTTGAATTAAAACATTGATTTGAAAAAAGTTCACAAATTTAAGGAAAAGAAAAAATAAATAGGAAATAAAAAAGAAAACATAGGAGGGCATTTCCCGTATGTAGAAAGAAATAAAGAAGAAGCATGTATACATGTATACATAAGAGTGAATATAGCGTAGTGGTTAGGGTAGTTGACTCGAAGCAAGGAGATTGCGGGTTCGAACCCTGTCACTCTCATTCCCAACCATTTCGAGTTTTAGAACAGAAAAAAAAACTAAAAAGCGGCCCGTTTGGTACGCCGACATGTTAGACAGTAAAAAATATGTTTTTTTTTTGTGCCGAACTTTGACAAATGTTTTGTATACTTGACAATTTTCGTTATGAAATGACATTCATGAAAGTCATGGCAAAAAAAAACCAAAAACAACACTTCAAAATGCTTTAAAAAAAAGCTTTTTGCAGCATGGATTGTTTTTGCCAAAACTTCCATGAATGTCCTTTCGTGATAAATTTTTACAAGCACACAGAACATTTGCCAAAGTTTACAACAACAAAAAATCAGATTATTTTTATTTATTTTTACTATTTTTCTAATTTTACTTATTATTAGCTAGGGACGGACAGCCCACGGGTTTGTGCGCACGGACAGCCCAGCCCACCAAAGAAGCTTAGGTTAGCAGCAAAGACGTGGGAGTTTGTTAGGGCATATACAATGGTGCTATCTTAGGAGTGCCACATAGGATAAATGATGAGGTGGAGGAGAGAGAACTCATAAGAGAAGGCTTGTCTTCTCTTATTTAAGATAAGACAAGAGATGATCTCTTAGCACAATATGTCTCACCACATTTTTAGGAATTGCTAGTTATTGAAGATAAGGCTAAGAGATGACCCATTGTAGACATTTTTCTTTGTCATCTCTAAATTACATGCAAAACTTAAGATAAGACTATCTTATCAACCATTGTACATGCCCTTACTACTAATAGCCTGTTAGTGGTTGGGCGTTTCGCCTTGTCGTTAGGTCCAGGGCGTCATGTGTGGTTTGGCCAACCACACGATCAAACTTGTATCCCACTCTATGTGGACTTTGAGTAATAAAAGGCTATTACCCCTCCAAAAAAAAACTTGACTCAAGAGTGAGCGTTGACCTGAGAGGAGACTCATCCCCTCTTCCATCCGAATCTCCATCGCCTTCACTGGATCGGCAGCAAGCAGCGAGGTCTGCGGAGACTCGTCCGTCCAGGTAAACTAGTAGTAAGTAGATCTTGTCTCGTCTGCTAATATGTAGGCTGATTTGTTATTTTCAAAATTGGATTCAGAATTGGTCCCAGATCTATTTGCACTTATTTACCACCGATTTGCAGCTAGAGACTGTCAAGCCGCGGTCAACTAGGGCCTGCTCCTTGCTATTGCTAAAAACTACTGCCTTTATTTTGGGTCACCGTTCTGGTTGTGGAGTTGGTCAACGCTGTGGCTCCCTGACTGTGGCTCTGATGTTGCTGTGGCTCCCGCTTTGATGTGTTTTGTCTGTACCGTATTGTAACGCTGGTCTTCCAAGTGAAACTAAATCTTAAAAAAAAAAAAAGAGGCTGTTGAACGCATATATCTTGTGGGTGCTCAAATCTTGGGGCAACACAACAAGTTCGTGCTGCTAGTTTTGCTTGGTATGGTGGTTAGTTTGCTGCTGATGCTTGTGGGTGTCTATATTGGTTGTAAAAGGATAATCTTGTTGTTTGTTATGTTAATTACTCCATCTCAGAAAATAAGTGTTGTTGATTTAGTACAAATTTGTACTAAGTCTGCGACACTTGTTTTGGGACGGAGGGAGTACCTTCTAGTCGATCTGCCGGCAAAGCTTAGTGTGACCTGAACTTCTTGCCCAGCTGCGACTTCTATTTTTGTTGCATCGGGATGCTTCAACCGTGTTTCGATTCGTTATTGTCATCATTGTCGAATCCGACCATGGGGTCGTTCTAAACATAGTGTTTTTCCACAAAACAAAAAATTAATGAAGTAATATCATGTAAACCGGAGAAACAAAATATTTCCTAGCAGCTTCGTATATACTACTTACCTAATTAAGGTCACTGTGCCAATACATTGATATACTACATTAATTGCCTACATTTTTTTCGCTGTCAATATTAATTGGCTACCTGAATTGGCGATTTGGGTCTAGCTAGTAGCTAAGTGCCTATGCTCATTCATTCATAATGAATTTTCTCTCGTTTTTAGGTTAATTACACAGTGACAATAAATGGAATGCAAAGCTTGTACTACACAAAGTGGCCTAAAGCAGATGTTAGCTGTTGAAACAGCGGAGCCCAAGGCCCTACCATTATCACTCTTGGAGGACATCACAGATAATTTCTCTGGTGATCGAGAGATTGGAAGAGGTGGGTTTGCAGTGGTTTATAAGGTATACATTCATTCCAATCTTAATCAATCCTGATTTAAAACCTCAAGCCGGCGACGTTATGCTAACGCTCATTCCGGAAGCAGGGAGTCATTGGTGGAAGGGCGGTCGCCGCGAAGAGGTTGTCCAACGCTCTTATGGATGATAAGGAATTTCACCGAGAGGTTGAATGCCTGTTGCGAGTAAAACACAAAAATGTAGTTAGATTTCTGGGATATTGTGCGAACCGACAAGGAAATATGGCAACATACAATGGTAAACTTGTCATGGCAGATATCCACCAGAGATTGCTTTGCTTCGAGTATATACCAAAAGGGAGTCTTGATAAGTATATCATTGGTACGATTATGCGTCCTCTAACTTTACGGTCTATTTTCTGCATATACTAGAAATTGTCTAGTGTGTCATATAACATCGGGACATCAAGCATGTCAATAACCTGTTTTCTCCTATCCCCTTAATAGATGCATACCGTGAGTGGAGAACGTGCTATAAAATAATTAAAGGGATTTGTGAGGGCTTGCAGTTCCTTCATGACAATCATATCGTTCACTTGGATTTGAAACCTGCCAATATACTGCTCGAGGATAGCATGGTACCGAAAATTACTGATTTTGGCCTTTCCAGATGCTTTGATGAAAATCAAAGTCGGGATATTACCAAAACTATATTAGGAACAATGTAAGCTAGCAAACTCTTCTTGTAAGTTGCTCTGTGCTTTGAATCCCATTCAACTTAACCACAAATTAGTTACATCTTTTCTATGTTTGTACAGGGGATATTTGGCGCCCGAATTTCGTGAAGGGGGTGTAATTGCACCGAGTGCTGACTTGTATAGTCTTGGTGTTATTATCATAGAAATACTGACCAGGCAGAAGGGGTATCAAGCGACTGGGAATGTAAGAACATATATGCCACTTTAGCTCAACTTACTTTTTGCCTAAGAAGGACCGACTTTAAAATAATGGCCACCATTTTACTTCACATATTGTCACAATATTTTAGTTTGGGATGTATAATCATATTATTTCTGGAAGCACAACAAGTAGTGGGAAGCATAATTTTGGCTGCAAAATAATTAATACAATAAATTTTTTGCTAAAGAAGTTTTCTTCTCAATTAGATGCATCATTTCTGAAAGTGCAATTTATGTTGTGATAGACATGACTTGAATCTATTGGGACATGGTACTTTTTAGAGATTTTTTGTTCTTAGTTTGATGCTTGAATGTATGTGGTTGGTATGTACTATACTAATATGACTTTCCTACAGAAAAATTGGTTGTCGGTCCATTTCATAGACCATAACCCACCATTGAAATTTTTTAGGTGCTTGAAAGTTGGAGTGATAGATTGGAGAGATCACAACGAGACACACTATCTGACCAAATACGAGTATGCTACGAGATAGCTTTAGAGTGCAGAGACTTCAATCCAAAGAAGAGACCAGCTAGCGCAAAAGATATAATTGACAGGTTAAACGGGAAGGAAAGTATCCAGGTATATTAAAAAAATTGAGAGTTTGTAAATTTCATCCTTTAATTCTGAGTTGCTACAGATACCACTCGGATCTTTGCAATAGAACCATTTTAGCTGATAGAGTTTGAACTTTGGTGCTCGAAGAACAAGGCTAGGAATCCCATGACGCTGGTTGCTTTAGTTGCACATCCTTGCTTGGAAACTACTCCCTCCGTCCCAAAATATAAGAACGTTTTTAACACTAGCATAGTGTCAAAAACGTTCTTATATTCTGGGACAGAGGGAGTAGAACCTTACTAACCTCTGGTTCATAGTACTAGTAGTTTTGCACTGTTGTCAATCAAACAACTTTAAAGTTTTACCATCAATACATAAGTAATTAGCAACAAAAACACCAAACTAAATTACTAGATCTGTTATGAGATATATTTTCATAATATTGAATTAATTTGGCATGAACCAATATGCCCTCTTCATTCAGGAAAAAAAAACTATCTGGGCATCTTCAACCCAACAATCAACAAAAAAATTATAAAAAATTTACATGTAAGAATTATATACTGAGTATGTATGTATTATACCACCTATTAAAATTTTAAGGTTTTTTCTTTCTTTCTTGTCGTTCTCTCCACTATTCATTTATTCTATATTTATTACTCCCTTTGTCCCAGAATATAAGAACGTTCTTATATTTTGGGACGGAGAGAGTATATTATATAATAAGAAGACTAATGCATGCATGCGGCCAGACAGCGGAGCCAAAGGAATCCAAGGGGAAGAACAAAGGCGTGCCGTCGGGGCAGACGGTGGTCATGCCGCGGCCCATTGTCCGGGGACCAGCGTACGGTCTCGGCGAGACGAAGCATCCCCTGCCGGCGAGGCTCGGCCCGAGTGGTGCGGCAAGGGCGACTAGGGTGGAGCTGATGCACTACCTGTACGTGAGCGTCGTTAAGGCGCGCGACCTCCCAACCATGGACATCACCGGCCCGTACGTGGAGGTGATAGTGGGAGACTTGAGGGGCGTCACGTGCCACCTGGAGAAGACCCACAACCCTTTGTGGCGGCAGACGTTCGCCTTCTCGCGCGCTCACGTGCAGGCCAGCGTGCTCGAGCCTCGAGGTCAACGTCATGGACAAGAGCACGCTCCAGGACAAATTCGTCGGTCGCGTCCTCTTCGACTTGTCCGCCATCCCCATCTGCCTCCCGCCCGACAGCCCGCTGGCACCGCAGTTGTACGGCCTCTCAGACGCCCATGGCAAGAGTGTCGGCGAGATCATGCTCGCCGTCTGGGTCGGCAGCCAGGCTGACGAGGCCTTCCCGGACGCGTGGCACTCGGAAGCGCACATGCTGTCGCTTGAGATGCTCGCCAACAGGCGCTCCCAGGTGTACTACTCCCCGAAGCTCATCTGTCTCAAGGTCACCGTCATCGCAGCGCAGGACCTGATCGGTACCGAGATAGCCCGGCCGCTCGCGCCTACCATCGTCAAGATCCAGATGGGCAGCCAAATCCGCCGCAGGGGTCGGCGAACCAGGCGTGGAACGAGGACCTATTGTTCGTGGCCAGCGAGTCGTCCAAGGGCCCGCTGGTGGTGACAGTGGAGGAGAAGGTCGCCGCCGGCAGGGACGAGCCCATCGGCCGCATCATCTGCCCCGTGGCGTCGCCGTACGTGACCCGCAGCAAAGGGGCCAAGTTGGCCAACATGCTGGCGCAGTACTGGGGGCCGCCGCTGCCCACGATGCACTACACGAACCCCATCTCCGAGTTGCAGCTGGACTACCTCCGGGTCCAGGCGATGGTGATCGTGGCGACGCGGCTGGGCAGGGCGGATCCGCCGCTGCCTAGGGAGGCGGTGGAGTACGTGCTCGACGTAGACTCCAACATCTGCCGGATCACCACGCTCTTGTCTGGAATTGTTGCCGTCGGCGAGTGGTTCGACGGCAACTCCAAGTGGAAGAATCCGTTGACGACTATTTTGGTGCACGTGGGCTTCGTGAAGCTGGTGTGCTGCCCGGAGCTGATCCTGCCCACCATCTTCGTGTGCTTGATCGTGACCATGGCGTGGAACTACTGCTGGCGGCCACGGGGGCCTCCACACAGTGACACGATGCTGTCACGCGCGGACCCGGCCGAGATGGACGACAAGTTGGAACCACCGCACGTAGATGCGATGCTGTGGTGGTACAGTGATGTGGCGTACCCCGACCGACGAGCTGGACGAGGAATTCGACACGTCCCCGACATCCAAGCCGGATGACATCGTGACCTGAGATACGATCGGCTGCGGAGCCTGGCTACGATGGTGCAGACATGGCTCAAGACCATGACACGATGCGCACATGCGTCTGCACCAGTAACTCTTACATCTACAAAAAGTTGCGTAAAGTTTTTACAAGCAAGTTAAGGCGAGGAACTATGATTGGTAATAAAGGGATGTTAGGGCCCATCCCTGTTTTTTTTTTTGAGATGGAACACCCGATTCCATTGACCCACTGCACTCGCACAGCTGAAACGCTGCCCTCCTGACGTTTACATATCATCCGGCAACTCCTCAGACCAAAACTGTTTTTGGAGATTGCCTCCAAGAACGGCAAATTTTATAATTTTAACCTATGGAATAAAACATTTCACAAAATGAACTCATTTGAAGAAAAAAATCACTCAGTTGACCGTTTTGAGTGACGCCCGACATGAAGGCGCCACACCCTACTGTGCAGTGCCTAGCACGCAGGCGTTGCACGTCTAGCCAGCGTGGCACCTCCGGCCCCGCACACCACAGTGCAGCGTCTGAAAGCCTAGCCCGTAGGCGCTGCACTGTGACTTATATGCAGCCGCTGCGCACTAACCCTCCCCCACCCACACCATTCTTCCAGCAGTTACAGAAGCATCCCGGCGACGGCTGGCTCCTCTCCCCCTCTCCATCCCATCTCTCAAAATCTTCGGATCTGACGATTTGGTCCGTGGAATTCTTCACCATTCCATCCTACAAGGTACTCTCCTCCGATCTCCTTCTCTCTGTCCATATAATCTATCTTATTCTGAAGATTTGTGGAACCCTTGTTTGATTAGATTAGAATGTTGCATATATGTATATAGATTTGTGGGACTTTAAGATTTGTAGATGATATGTAATTATTTTGTAACCCTAGTTTTGTTTATTTGTATTGAGAAGACATGCTTTGGATACATATGTTGAGATGTTATTTGTATTGAAAAGATATTCGTATTGAATCTTTCATGAAGTAGGCCTAGTTTAGTTTATTTCTATTGAAAGATATTCGTATTGACAAGAATGCTTTGTATACATATGTTGAGATGTTATTTACATGATACCATTATAGAACATTATATTGTTTTGGATACATATAGCCACAGGTTCACGGTCACATGGGCTCCCGTCGTTATGCAGTGAGTACGAATGCATATGCAATGTATTTTTAGATGAGAATAAAACCCAACTCATGATAGCCCACCGGCACAGGATACGTCTACAACAATAGCCCGCCCCCCACCCTCTTCCTCAGACGCACCCATTCCCAGGTAGATCCCTTTCGTTGACATGACAGGACATGGATCAAGATCGATTTGGGCGTCGCCTCCGCCGATGTGAGGGTGCGATGGATGCGCGGTTTCCGCACTCTTGGGCTAAGGTGACCAAGATGCAGCTCATGTAGTTCGGCATCGCCAGCCCCGATGAGATCGTAATCCCCTACACCCCACACCCACCCACAACCGCTACCGATTCACAGAGAATTAGGAAAACGGAGAAACCCAAAAAATGAATAAAAAAATGAAAACAGAAAAAATTGGCAATAAAAAAAGGACGAAATAAACAAAGTCTGTGATTCTTATGGAAGCATTTTTTTCGAGAAGCACGGTTGTGCTTATGTGGAAGAACATGTTTTTTTCCTGTTTAAAAAGCACAGTTGTGCTTCTTGCGGAAGCAAATATGTGCTTCCATAAGCAACTAATATGTGCTTGTCATACAAGCACAAATTTTCTTTTCTCAAGAAGCACATTTTGCAGAAGCAAATCTGTGCTTCCGTTGAAAAAAAATGAAAAAAGTCCATTTTACTTCCCTCAACAAAGTGGCCGGTTCACATAACACCCTGAGCATTTTTTCTGTTCCCTTAACCCCTCATCTATCCTATACCGTTCACAAAACATCTTTGCTGGGTTTGCTCATTTTGTTTTGCTGACGTGGAGGTAGTCAAAGCGGTAGTTGACCACTGGGGCGCCCTTGTCAGGTTGGGGCTCCTTGACCCCGCCGTTAGCCAACGACTCCTCGGTGCTCCGCCACCTGACCGCATCTCCTTCCCCACGCGCAGCGTGCCGGTCTCTTTCTTCCCTCTCGCCTAGCCGCCCATCCAATCTCCACAAGGCCACGCTATGGCGCGCGTCTCGTCGTCTAGCTCGGGATGGAGGACAACATCATCGGACGAAATCACTATTCTGACCTTTTCAACAATCTTTACCACAAAATGAACTCGACATGAAAGCATTTCACAATCTGACCCTTTTAGCAACGCCACATCCCGTGACGTTTCTTCTCCATATAAAAACGCCGGAGTAGCTCACGTTTCAGATCCACATTCAAACGCCGAGCTAGCTAGCGTTTTTGACCCACATGGAAACGCCAAGCACGTTGGCGTTGCCGCCCAGGCCGAAACGCCATGATCATTGGCGTTTGTAGCATAAACTCCCGCTGGCTCAAGGTGAAGTACTCTTACTGCTCACTCTGTAGCACCTGATAGGCTGGCCTGGCTCTACTCATTGATTCACCCTTCAGCACTGCCCTCCTTTCAATTCCCTCGTAGGCACTGCTTCCGCATTTCAGTACCTAGCTTCAGCCAGCAGCCATCCATTAATTCAACCTGTGTTGTGTACGTTGGCTCTATAGCATGCATGCAAACTATCGGCTACAAACGCCAAGAATCATGGCGTTTCGGTCTGGGCGGCAACGCCAACATGCTTGGCGTTTCCATGTGGGTCGGAAGCACTAGCTAGCTTGGCGTTCGAATGTGGATCTGAAACGCGAGCTACTTCGGTGTTTTTATATGGAGAAGAAACGGCACAGGCTTTGGCGTTGCTAAAAGGGTCAGATC